ACACACACACACACTGGGCTCGTCTACACTGGCCTCTTTTCCGGAAGGGGCATGTAAATTTCATGAGTCGTAGTAGGGAAATGCGCGGGGGATTTAAATATCCCCCGCGCATTTCCCTACTACGACTCATGAAATTTACATGCCCCTTCCGGAAAAGGGGCCAGTGTAGACGCTCTTTTCCGGCTTTTTTAAAAGCCGGAAAAAAGCGGCGGACATTTTTATTTAAATCCCGCGGGGGATATTTAAATCCCCCGCGCATTTCCCTACTACGACTCATGAAATTTACATGCCCCTTCCGGAAAAGGGGCCAGTGTAGACGCTCTTTTCCGGCTTTTTTAAAAGCCGGAAAAAAGCGGCGGACATTTTTATTTAAATCCCGCGGGGGATATTTAAATCCCCCGCGCATTTCCCTACTACGACTCATGAAATTTACATGCCCCTTCCGGAAAAGGGGCCAGTGTAGACGCTCTTTTCCGGCTTTTTTAAAAGCCGGAAAAAAGCGGCGGACATTTTTATTTAAATCCCGCGGGGGATATTTAAATCCCCCGCGCATTTCCCTACTACGACTCATGAAATTTACATGCCCCTTCCGGAAAAGGGGCCAGTGTAGACGTAGCCACTTACTTCATCTCCATCACCCCAAACCCTAAGAGTATATCTATGGTTATGGTGGTGTGTAGAGTACAGACACTGCTCTTAGCCCATGTATAAATAGCCGTGCCATTGAGGTGCTGCTTTGACAAGTGGAATAAAGGCACACCAGATCCTTAGAGCCATATGTGGTGCTCTACACACCCAAGCACTGCCTTCCTCCTCTACACCAGCATTTTTAGTGGTGTAGCCTCTCCCTGCAACCCTAGATTGAAACCCTATAAAGATGAATCCAAGGTTCACTGGATTTTTTTAAGAAAACCTTAAAACCTCACATTAGCACTTTCTCTCCCAGCCTGGTTAATGAACTCCACATGGGGAGCATAAACACAGCCAGCTGTAAGTCTGACCTACTGACAGTGTTTGTGTGAGTAATGGTATCCAATGTACTGTCTGGCTTTAAAATGTACAGTCCCATAAGATTACACATCACTGTGAAATGTTCACCCAGCTCAGGAAAATACAGGGCTATTTAGCTCTTGCTTAGTGCTGTGTGAATGTGAACATTAAGTACTGCTCTACCACAAGGCTGGGGCCTGCTTTGGTGTGGAAGCCCTTTGAACAGATAGCAGCTGTCCACCAGTACATAGGCCTCTTCAGGCTTCACTGACTCAAATCCATTTTCCCCCTTGATATATTCCAAGCCCTGGTATTCCAGACCCCAGAGGTATCCCGAAATAGCTACCCCGTGTCCTTTGAACGCATCCGCTATTGCGAAATATTGTGGATGTGCTATTTCAGCATCCCTGTTAATCGCGTTGCACGAGGGATAAGGGATGTCTCAAAATAGCGTGTTATTTCTAAATTTGGCGCTGTGTTGATGCAGCAAATTTTGAAATAGAATTGAAATAAGATACGCAATTGGCATCGCACCAATTGCATATCGTATTTCGAGCTAAGGGTGCAGTGTAGACACACCCTAAATCACATAGGCAGGGGAGGGGATTAACTCTCTCAGAATGGTCCGTGGTTCTGCTCCAGACCTCATGGATCTTCTCAGAGGCTCCATGCCTTTACACTGCCTATTGCGGTGCCTGTTGCTTAGCCCAGCTCCTTGACAGCTGGGGAATGGACACTGGACTAGGGTGGAGGTGACTACAGAAAAGCCCGAACCAGCGGGGGGGGCAGCTTTCCTCTGGGGCTTGTTGTACTTCATGCATCCTGGCTCCTCCACAGCCATGGATCACTGACCCTATGGAAGGTGGGATGCAATTCTGGAGTGGCAGCTCAGTCTCCTGTATACTGACTTTCATTAGGTCAGGAAAGGATCGTCACAGAAGGCACCATCCACACCTTTTATCTTGCCCATGCCATTGGCCTCCTGCCTTGTAATTCCTTTATTTATCTGTGTGTTTTTTATAGCCAGCTGATAACATGTTCCATCCTTCTGGTCCAAGACAGCAGGCTGGAAAATCGAATCTGCCTCCAGTGATAACACAGCAGCATGCAAAGCCAACTGTTCACATCCTGTTTTAATGTCAAATCCTGCTGCTTCTTCCATTATGTAGTAAGATAATGGAGCAAATAATTAAGCAAAGTCCGGTCTGTACACATGGAGCAGATAAAGCTGACTACAGTAATTCCTCTGTTAACACTATACATGCGTTTCTGAAAATTTTCGTGCTAAGCGATAGCATGCTATGCATGGTCAATTTTCCCATTAAAAATAATGGAAAAGGTAGGGGGTTGCTTTTCGGGTGGTGGTGATAAAGTCAGTTTTTGTTGGTGCTGTGTTGTCAACATCAACATTGGATATCTAGTGACATAAGATATCTAGCAACACAAGTCGCTGAGGTTTGTTAAAACACAAAGATAAACAAGTGAGTTAGCGAAGGAGCGCTGTGACCATGTGAATTCATCCACTCATGCGTATTACCACTGTTTTCACCAACTTATACTGCTGCGCAAAGAAGTCCACTACTTGATTATTTTCGTGTTATTTTGGGGACAGTCATGTTATTTGAAAAAGTTCCCTAAAAAAAAAATCATGCTATTGTGAAAACGTGTTAAGTGGGCACGTGTTAAACGAATAATTACTGTATTACTTTATCACTTTATTGTCTAGAAGCAATCACATTAAACCAAGCTAATAGCTTTCTTTGACGGGTAGCAAGGCTTGTGGAGGGAGGGAAGTAGTAGATGTGGTATATCTTGACTTTAGTAAGAATTATGATACTGTCTCATGTGACCTTTTCATAACTACAACCTAGATTGAGCTACTATAAGGTGGGTGGAAAACCATTCCCAGAAAGCAGTTATCAGTGGTTTATAGTCATGCTGGAAGAGAATATCCAGTCCCACAGATATACATTTTGGGTCTGGTTCTGTTCAATTTCTTCTTCAGTGAGTTAGATCAGTGGGTTAGAGCTGTCAGTCACAATCGACTGGTCGATCCTGGGAGTCTCCCAGTTGGTCGTGCTCGGCACTTGGCAGACTCCCTGCCTGCCCTAGCCCCACACTGCCGACCTGTTTCCAGCATGTCCCTGAGTGTGTGGAAGGAGTGCAGGAGTCTCGGTGCACTGTTCTTGCCTGCAGGCACTGCAACCCACATCTCCTATTGCCTGGGAACAGGAAACTGTGACCAACAGGAACTCCTGTTGGCAAAGAAAAGTGAACATCATTCTGGGCTGCTCTGAACCACTGACCGCTGTTGGTCAATTCTGCAGCCTCACAATCTGCCACACCTGAGCTGGAGAAGAACCCGAGAGCAATGTTGACAGTGTAGGGCTAGCTTTGTGCAAGAGCCAGGGCCTGATTATGATGATTATTACTAGAAGACTATCTAGCACTGCCTCGGGCTGGGGCCAGCCCAGGACAGGAGAGGCTGCATGGCCTGCCTGGCAACTTTGACCCGGGACCAACTGGCCCAGGGCATGGGTTGCTGTGCAGCATGGTAGGCGGCTGCTCCCTGGGTAGTACTGCTGTCCAGCAGCTGCTCTCCGGGGCTGGAGTGCTTGTTGCCCACTGTGGTCATTCGTGAGTCTAACTTTCCCTGCTATCACACCCCTTCCTTCCTGTTTAAGGTGAAGCAGTCACATTCCATGCACATCCCATTGTCCTGGCACAACCAAACCCTGCCCTCGCTCTAGTTTAGAAGAAGAGGAAGCTGCATACCACATTTGACAGTACCAGCTCTTACCATTTAGGAGGAGTTCTTGAACAAACGGACTCACAGATGGACAGACACACAAACATACAAACTCTCTAAAATATATAAGGGGTACGTCTATACAGCATGCTTATTTCAAGATAAGCTATTTTGGAATTTTTTTTCCTGAAATAACTTATTTCGAAATAGCACGTCTACACTGCAGGGAAGCCTCAAAATTAGTCCGAGGCAGGCTTCCCTAATGTGGACGTGCTACCTCGATTTAGAGCCCCAGGGGGCACTGGGGAATAATTACTTTAAATGGCCCTAGGGAGGAGCTATTTCAAAATAACAGCAGTGGAGTGTCCACACTCCTACTATTCCGAAATAGCTATTTTGGAATGAGCATTAATCCTCGTGGAATGAGGTTTACAGATTTTGAAATAAGCCACCTGCTATTTTTAAATTATTTTGAAATAACGGAATTGTGTAGACACTCTTGCATTGTTATTTTGGAATAATGTCAGTTATTTCGAAATAACTGTGCTGTGTAGATGCACCCTAGTAGATTGGCATTACTGTAGCATCTAGAAGCTGCAAGCATGAAGCAGAATCATTTTGTGCTAGGTGGTGTATCCTGCACAGAATATATGTGTGAGTGTGAGTGAGAGAGAGAGACACAAACAAAAGCAGCTTGTGCAGCTGGGGGTTCACTGTGTCCCCGAAGGCAGCACCACAGGGAGAAAACCTGAGGGAGGGTGAGGAGAGGCCTTGGTGCCACAAGTCAACAGCTCATGAAGCTGAGCATTCCTTTTTTTTTTTCTTCCCAATGAAATGGCTTCCACAGAGTCCAAGCCGCATTTAGTTAAGGGAGATTCATGCTCCTGATTTCAATGGAACGCTGCAAAGGGAGGACAGACTCTCCCTTAATTGCACAATTTATCTAACGTAGCATTATCTAATTTATCTACAGAGGCAGCAAGGTGTGTGGGGGAACTGCGAGTAGTCAGGTAGCCTAGGCTTATCGGGTAGTCAACTATTCGCTTACATCCCTAGTGAGAACCTACGTCAGTGCTAACTGTCTTCCTTGAAAAAACTCATTTGTGCTCTTGTTTTCTGTACCACATTGGGGCAGGGTAGAAAGAGAGAGGAAAAAAAAAGCTGTAGCCATGAATTTAACTCTAGGTGGTGGTGTTTTGGGTTTTTTAACTGAATAATAATATGCACAGAGGATTAACTTCTTTCTTTTATGTCTCTACAGCCTCACTGAAGTTATTGTTGTTACAAGGTGTAATTGAGAAGAATTTGGCCTCCACCACAGAAGGAAGGTAAGGAGAGGCGTTGGTGTGCCTTCATTTGTAAATTTGACACTTTTAATCAAGGTTTGAACAAAGACATGAACTGTGGATATTCAACACCCTGAGGACATCAAAAACTAAGTATTTGGCACACTGTTTGCCTCTTTTAGCAGAGACACTCTAAGGGTACTTCTACACTGGAATGCTATTTCAGGATACCGGAGGTATCCCAAAATTGCTACCCTGCATCTACATAAGCTGCCCGTTATTTCAAAATATTTTTTGAAATAATGGGCACGCTTTTGCCATCCCAGTAAACCTCGTTGCACTAGAGATAAGGGATGGCTCTAAACACGCCAAATTTCAAAATAAGCTATTTTGAAATAAAATCAAAATAAGATACGCAATTTGCGTAGTGAGTTTAGGGTGAAGTATAGATGCACCCTAATTGACAAGGGTTTTTTTCACCTTCTCTTTCTCTCCCCATCCCCTCTTTTTCTGCTATTTATTTGTACCTCTGGACCCCTTGCTACATTCATCTGAAGAAGTGGTTGAGCCCATGAAAGCTTATTAGCCTATCTACATTTTTTGTTAGTTTCTAAGGTGCTTCAGTACCATTCATTGTTTAAGTTTTGGGGGGTCAATATCTCATGAAGCTTATTGTTCCATTTTTTTTCTCTCCTGATGACAAAGGGCTTCCACAGAGTCCAAGTGGCCTCTAGTTTAAATGTGAGGCAGGATTATAAATTTAATTGAGCAAATTAGTCTTCTAAGAGCTATGCAGGTTGAACCTCTCTAGTCCGGCATTCTGTGGTCCGGAATGGATTTTGTTATCTGGATGTCCACTTTTCATGGGTGTGGCCAAGTTTCCCATAATGATGTCACCATGGTAAATGTGGGAAAGCTAGAATGTTATTTTGGCATAGTAAGTGTCACATTGACAAATTACACTTAATTTAAAAAAGCATCAATTTTTAATTATTTTCTCTCAAACTAATTTAAAATCTCAGAAAATTCCTTCTCTGCATGGAGCAACTCCCATAACATAGAATCATAGAATCCTAAGGCTGGAAGAGACCTCAGGAGGCCATTGAGTTTTGCCCAAAGCAGGACCAACCCCAGCTAGATCACCCCAACCATGGCTTTGTCGAGCCTGGCCTTAAAAACTTCTAGAAATGGAGATTCCACTACCTCCCTAGGTAACCCATTCCAGTGCTTCACCTCCCACCTAGTGAAATAGGTTTTTTCCTAATATTCAACCCAGCCCTCCCCCAACTGCAGTTGGAACCATTGTTCCTTGTTCTGCCATCTGTCACCACTGAGAACAGCCTCTCTCCATCCTCTTTGGAACTTCCTTCAGGGAGTGGAAGGGGGATTCCAAAGAGGATGAAGAGAGGCTGTTCTCAGTGGTGACAGATGTCAGAAAGAATAAAATAAGATTCAGTCTGGAAAAATCCAGGCTAATATATCTGTGTTGGGGGTGGGGAGAGAGTAGTCTAAAAGACAGATGTTCCATGAAATGTGCAAAGCCGGGATTCTAGTGGACAACATGTGATTTTTGCAATACAAATAGCAGTTAAAAAAAACCCTCCAAAACAGATTATATTTCCTGATTCAGCACCACCCCTAGCTGGTCTTGAACCAGGGAATCTGCTGGACATGGGGAGGTCAGTGCCAGCCCCTCTCATGCTGCCAGCTGCAGGGCCCACTCTGGTGGCCGCAGAGGGGCAAGCATTGGGGAATGGGAGGGCATTTGGGGGAAGATGCAGGATGACTGTGGAGCCTCACAGCTGGAGTAAGGCGTGCAGCCCTGTGGGGCTTCACAGCCATGTTGCCTCATTCCCTGGGCATCCTCCTGTTGCCGCCCCTTCCCCGCCCTCTCTGAGCTTCGGCACCACCCATAAGGCTATTTGCAGCCCTCCGGAAGATCTGGGAGGGTGGAGCAGCAGTTGTAGAGCACAAGGCCTGGCTTTTCCCTGTGAACGCTCCATCCTGCCGGACTACAGAAGTCTCACCTGTACTGTATTGGGCAGTAGAAGCAGAAACATACCGCTCATATCCTAGGACAGCATAACAGTTCTGTGAGGCTACGTCTACCCTACAAGTTTTCTTGGCAAAAAATATGCTAATGAGGGACTTATTTGCATGAGTCACAATCTCATTTGCATATTTTCTGCCAATCCATTTTTGTGCTGGAGTTTTTGAAAAAAAAAAAAAACCCAAGCAGTGTGGACAGGGCCGGCTTTAGGCCGATTTCCCCCAATTCTCCCGAATTGGGCCCTACGCCTAAGAAGGGGGCCCTACGCCTAAGAGAATCCCCCGTGTCCCCGTGAATCGGGCCCGCACTTCCTAAAGCCAGCCCTGAATGTGGACATCTTCTTTTTGCACCAAAACCCCCTTTTTCCGCAAGATCGGTATACAGGCAGTCCCCAGGTTACATGGATCCGACTTACATCAGATCCCTACTTACAAACGGAGTGAGGCAACCCCGCACTAGCTGCTTTTCCCCCTAGCAGACCAGGGAGACACGAAGCTAGCGCCCCACCCAGCAGACCAGGGAGACGTGGAGCGGCTTTTCTCAGCAGACACCTCAGCTTGAGAATAAAGGATTGAGGGAAGTGAGGTGTGGGAGAATAAAACTGAGCTCTGGAGAAATGTTTGGCTGGAGTTTCCCCTACAATATGTACCAGGTCCGACTTACATACAAATTCAACTTAAGAACAAACCTACAGTCCCTATCTTGTACGTAACCCGGGGACTGCCTGTACCTCCTTTTTTGGGGCATAAGGATCTTGCAAAAAAAGTGGGTTCTGTGCGAAAAGAAAACATCCACGCTGCTTGGGTTTTGCGCAAAAACCCCAGCGCAAAAATGGATCAGCAGAAAATATGCAAATGACATTGTGACTCATGCAAATGAGTCCCTCGTTAGCATATTTTTTTACCGAGAAAACTCGTAGTGTAGACATAGCCTAAGGGTCTGTAAGCAAAGGGCCTTAGGTTGTTTTTTTAATTCTAGGGAACCAGATAGTTTTGCTACTTGTGGAGAGAGCTGAGGAAAGAACTTGGGGGGCTGGAAGGTTTGACTGATGCGATGCAATTAAAGGAGCCATGCATGTGCTGCTGGAGTGAGTGGTGATCAAAAGGGAACATGAGCGCCTGCTGGGGTTGTAACATCCCCCGAAGGATGAGGAGTCATTTCGGCTGCTGTCACTGGGAGTAATGGGATTAAATGAACTACGGCAAATGGAGAGAAGATGCTGCAATGATGGACTCTAACAGTCTGAGGGATAGTTTGCAAAGAGAAGCGGTGGAAGCTCAGTTAGAAATAGGCATTTGAAATTGAACCGGCCAGGGGCACTAGTGCATATTAAGAACAACCCAGCCATGACAGAGGAAACGGGCTTGAGTATTTATACAATCACACTAGAATGCAGGGCTCTTTTATGCTGACAACCTCATCTTTCACTGCTTCTTTAGGTTTTTAAAAAGAACAGAAGAACCTAGCAACTAGATTTAGCCCTTTTCATCACCACCAACTTTTCTTCCCCCTTTCTCTAAAATGGTGGCTTTCAGACTTGTAGCCTCAATCCTGATACTAAACAGAGACTTGCTTTGCTGTCTCTTTTTTGTCCATAGACGCCAGCCTGCTGAAGGTTAAGTGCATTAGGACGCATGCAGAAGGACTGAAGGCATTAGCGATAGGGAGTTGAACTAGTTTTGCCGATAACAGTAGCTGATCCTGTGCTACACTGGGACAATTGCTCAGAACTGTCAGGGTCTGTCTACACGAGGAAATTATTTTGAAATAACTCCCAAAATAAGTATTTCAGAATAGCATGTTCACACTACAGGGAAGCCTCGAAATCAGTCTGAGCCAGGTTCCGTTATTGTGAACATGCTCCCTTGACTTAGAGCCCCAGAAAGCACTGGGGAGTAATTATTTTAATTACTCTAGGGAGTAGTTATTTCAAAACATCAGCAGTGGAGCATCCACCTAATGCTATATGTGAAATAACTATTTTGAAATAAGTGTTATGCCTCGTGGAAAGCAGGAATCATTATTTCAAAATAACCAGCTACTTATTTCGAAATAACAGGCTTGGTCGTGTGAATGCTCTGCTTGTTATTTTGAAATAACTCCCCTTATTTCAAAATAACTCCCTAAGGGCTACGTCTACACTGGCATGATTTTGTGCAAGAACTCTTTTGCGGAAGAGTTCTTGTGCAAAAACTCTTTCAGAAGAGAGCGTCTACACTGGCATGTGCGTTTGTGCAAGAGAGTGCTTTTGCGCAAGAGCATCCATGCCAGTGTAGACGCTCTCTTGCGCAAGAAAGCTCTGATGGCCATTTTAACCATAGGGCTTTTTTGCTCAAGAAATTCATGTTGCCTGTCTACACTGGCCTCTTGCACAAGAACAGTTGCACAAGAGGGCTTATTCCTGAGCGGGAGCATCATAGTTCTTGTGCAAGAAGCCCTGATTTCATCCATTAGAATGTCAGTGTACTTGCGCAAGAACTCGCGGCCAGTGTAGACAGGCAGCAAGTTTTTGTGAAAAAGCAGCTGCTTTTGCGCAAGATCGCACCAATGTAGACACAATGTAGCCCTAGTGTAGACCAGGACTCAGTACGTCACGTGTCACCACCTGAATCAACATTACTTCCATGGGCCTCTGAAATTAACCACCCCAGATAGTCTTTTTGGGCTGAGGACATCCAGCCGCAATGAAAACATCCTGCATGCATAAAACCACAAAATCCATTTCTCTCCTTGCAATGTCAATAAAAGCTAGGAAATCAGACCTGTTTTGTCTGAAATGTGCCTTCTTTTTCCCTCTCCCCTCCCCACCCTAAGGTAAGTGGCTGAGGAGCGTGAAAGTGGATGGTGTTCGGGCGCAGGAGGCTGCTCAGACCCCTTCCTCCTGTTCTCTATGTGGTAGCTCAATATGAGGGCAGGGTTAAACACCTGTCCGCATCGTTAGCACTGCTAGCTCCCTTTTGGCAGATGTGCCCCACACTCTTCTGGAGGGCAG